CATCCATATAAACTTTCTAGTTTATACACTATGTTACGACTTACTTTATAATAAAGCTGACGGGCGATATGTACTTTTAAAAAATAATTCAAATAATCAAATTTACTAATAAATTCATCATCCTATTAAGTCAGTAATAAATAAATTGCAACTCATACATCCTAAAAAAAAATTTATGTGTATCTGAATCATATTAATTCAACTCATAGTCATCAAACATACAAAATTAAAAATTTTTAGTAATACAATTAGTGGGAAATCTAATTAAAGTACAAGTTTCTTTATTTAATTTTAAACCGCCAATTATAAAAATTTTTAAAAACTCCTACACTTTTAATTAACAGGGTCTCTAATCCTGCTCACCTAAAAATATATAATTATAAAAACAAAATTTCACCTAAAATCCCATAATAAATATAATTTTGTAAATTAATAATATTATTCGTATGACCGCGGATGCTGGCACGCTATCAACCAAAATAAAATAAAATCATTTATATTTCTTATTATAATATAGTAAAATAATCATACAGCGAAAGCGAAAGTTGCAACATAGGCATTATAGAATAGCAAGTCTTTGGGTTTAAATCGCTTTTGGGCTAAAATCAAAGTTGAGAGATGAGTTCTTCAGTAAATTTGAAGTTCTTCGGCCAGCAGATCTTCAGAAAATAAATATCCTCTATAGAGAGCAGCAAGCATGGTGGTTAAAAATACGAAGATATTCGTATTAACGTGCCAACTGGGATAGTATCAAAAATGATACGCCATTGGGACAAGTACACTATATAGAAGTCGATGGACAAAGAATTCCACAATCAATGACAATTGTTCGTTTACTTGCCAAACAATTCAATTTAGCTGGTAAAGACAATTTGGAACAAGCCAAAGTGGATAGTGTTGCTGATACAATTGGTGATTTAAGTGAAATGTATTCAAAACTGATACATCGCGGAAAAGGTCAAAGTAAAAAAGAAGAAGGTTTAAAAATGTTTTTCAAAGAGGACGCACCAAAGCTTTGGCGAATTTAGGTACTTTGGTCTAAAGACGTCTAGGCTGAGACTGACGGGAGGACACTGTGCATTTTCCCCACGTTTTTGGAAAACTTATACCGAAGTCCAGCAACGATCAAGCAATTCGGTGGAAGAGTAATAGATTTAGCACTTGTAGATAAACATCTTGGCAAAATTTGAGCGATTTTCAAGATGAGCCGCTCACGATACTAAAGATAGTTGTACAGAAATTGTTAACTTGAAAAGTTAATTTGCTTTCTCCAACAGTTAAAGTCCAAACAGAGAAACTTTTTCGCTATGGTATAACTAAAAGTATCCAGATATAGAATATCTGTCGTCAGGTATGTAAGTTTGATATATTTAATTGAAACAAACATTTTCCGGCAACGCCTGTTTTTTCAAACCGGTTTTGAGCCAAGGGTTTTCTGAAGACTCTTAATAATTGGAACAAAACTTTTAAGGCCATTAGATAGCCCATCTATTGAAATGTATTTATCCACATTGAAATCTTGAAAACACGCACTTTCGATTTTTGGCTAAATGTCTGCCTGAACGCACACTGCGGAGGGTCAGCCGAAACGTTTAGCCACTACTAAACTATTTTCGGTGCTTAAGAAAGTATTCGTGAAGTTTGGAAGTATTTTCCCAAAGACCATAATATAACAGAATCACGCAATTATGCTGAAGTCGAAAATTAATGATTTTGGTCATATGTACAAGTACAAGTATATTCTGTGGTCTGAAGAAAACTTTTGACTATAAGAAAACTATAAAAAGAAGTCTACTAACCATAAAAGACAGTCTGGATCTGGATACCGATAATAGCGGTATGTTTTGTCCTGGTGGCAGTGGTAGTAAGGTTAATGTTACTAGTAAGAAATTAAAATCTTGAACTGAATCTGAACCAGTTGACTCATGTTAGGAAGTATAAACTAAATCTCATATCAGCAGTCATCTTTCAATATACATAGTATCGTCACTCGATGGTTATTTTCCCTTTCTGTTCTTCTGATATATGTATTCACTCTTCTGCTTTTTATGATATGTATTTTCTCTCTTTCTGTTCACTCTTTTCCCGTGGGTATTTTTCATTCCTATTCTTCTCTCTCACTCACTCTCTCTCTCTCTCTTGTACAATAGCTGTTTTTCCCAGTTTTCCAAAGGGATCTTCCTGTAGCTAAAATATACTATATATAGATGTTAATTTACTGAAATAAAGTGTGTGTAACAGTAACATTCTTCTTTGGCTATTAA